AGCAGACCGCAACTATGAGCTGAATGCTCTCTTCTGCAATAACTATCGTTACAAATGCCACACAAATAACTAGCTTCTCATGTGGTTTGTTTTTGAAATAAGTTTCGGGTAGTAATTAATGCGATAAGTATTTATGTTCATTGCATCTAATCTTACGTATGAGATTGTTAACACATAACTGCAGAGGTAGCATCAGATTATTTCATCTTAATTCATCCTTTTTTTTTTTGATTAACCTAGGATATCTCTAACCTATGAAATGGCTCAGACTAATCTCCAAGTTATCATTCAGATATCATTGGATTCAAATAGCACACAAAAATATTTTGACGACCACATAGCACACAATTACAAAGTCAATTTATCACACATAAAGATCAGGAAAAGCAAGGTTACCAAATAAAAAATTTCTTGCGAATTGATTCAACAAAATCTTGACATGCATAGAATAATTTGAAGCAAAACAAAATAACCGGAAAATCGTACCAAAAATCGGAATCACATTGAATCGGGTTGTGCCCGCTTAGGACAGAAACTTCAATTGTCGTCAATACAGTAAAAAAGTGATGCTTTTTTTATTGAAAGAATATCACTCTAGGGCAGTTTCATGTTTTTTATATCATAAATAGACAGTTTGTTCTACCAAGGTAGTTTATCTTAATTTTCTCAATTTTATTTCCTAATTCTTAATCATCTAGTTAGCTAACCAGTAAATACACATTTAGTTTTAGCGGGAATTTACCTCACACATCTTTCTCTCATATTTTTCCCTTTTTCTTTTGTCTTCTTCCTTCTTCTTTCTCTATTTTTTTTTAGAAAAATTCAAATCTGACTATTAAATTTCTTTTCTCAAATTTTTTTCGATGAAATCGTTCTTTCCATTATTCGATCTATCTTTTAAGATCTGTGAAGGTATATTTCCGATGTTGGTGTACACCTTATCTAATGTACACATGTTATTTTGTGTATGCGTTTTTGACATACACACGTGTACATTTAAAATGAACATATATATATTATGTGAATAAGTTGTGCACATAAGGTAGACTATTGATTGCTTACTAAAAAAAATACAAACTACATAACAATAAGTGTACATATGATTTTGTGTGTTATTCATATCTAATGATTTTTTGCTTTGATTTTAGTTTATTTAATTTATTTTCCAATACATTTTTTAGCTTTGAAATTTTGGAGGTAAAAATGAAATCAATAAAACAAGGATCATCGTGCAATTAAGAAGAAATACTGGAATCAGTAATCAAAGAGTTTGTTGGTTATTTTGTGTACACTTTGTGACATGTACACATGTACTTCGAAAATGGACCAATATATGTGAAGAAATTGTACACAAGTAGGTGAATTGATGGTAACTTACTAAAAAAACAAAATACATAATAAAATAAATCGAATCAAACTGAATATGGTGTACACAAAGGATGTGCATTTTGTAAAACCTTTGTAATATAAAACCACAATTTTGATGTGCAACAAGCATATTTAAAACATATGAGTACATAAATAATATATAATCTTGTACATAACCACGATTGTACACATGTACAGTCATTAATGAAGAAGATGAAATAATTACGATAATGCCATTAATGAATTAATATTAAAAAGTGTACACACGGCTATGATGTACATGTGTACGCGATACATAACATACCCACCTGAATTGTACACAAAATAATAAAAAAAATTATCTTTAATGTACACGTATGTATATCTAGTGTTCATGTGATTTTTATAAGAATCATTACTTGTGCGGTGTACAAAAAAACTAGTGTACATGTGATTTTCTACTGATGATATATACCAAATTTGTGTACATACTTACTGATGATGTACACCAAATATGTGTACATATTGTGCATCATTATGGCCACTAAAAAATATATAATTTATAGTATCCATGTGGACAATGCAAAATGTGTTCATGAAGTAAGGTCTCCACATGGATACTCATATTCGTCTCTACATTTGTAACTACAAACAAATTGTGTAAATAACATACACATGGACATTTTGAAACATGGTGAAATCTTATTCTTTTTTTTATCATATATTAATTCATTTAAAATATATATGTACACAGTAATGATGTTTGAACGAGTATGTATGCCACAAATTTATCATGTGTACATATGGACAATAAAACTTGTAAATGCATATAACAAATTTATCACATATACATGTTAGTCATTTGTATGTGAAAATGTACACATATAATCTTTGTACACATGTGAAGCTGTACACATGTACACATATAATTTATGTACACACATTTTTCACCAATGGCAAAATCGTAATTAATCCATCTTCTACCTATTTTAGGGTTTCTGTAAAATTTTTACGGCTGTAAACCATGTGTCTCCCTAAATCATCTGAATTTGGTGTGTTTTCATGTTATTTTGACAGCAAAATTATAGATCTACTTGCAAATAATCAATTTTAAAATTAAAAAGGATAATTTGATGAATCATTTTTCTTAAATAGGCCAAATCACCCAGTGCTCACAGCTAAACCTTCTGTTGTACCATTATCAGCTTTATCCTTCGTGTAGTAGTTCTGCCCGTGCCGAAGTTTCTCCTCCCTCGAGATTTTTTTTGCATCGGTTTCATTCAATTCCATCAAAAACTCAACGAAATCCATTGAACCCACTCACTAATAAATTTCAAAAACGTAACCAGAAAGCCAAAAATCTCTTTCCAATTTTACCCCACCAATTACACTTTTTCTAGGGGCAAGTTAAGACATTTCACTACAAAACTGCTCAAGTAGCAATAACTGCCTTATTGTGATATTAAAACTCATAAACTGCCCTGCAGTGATAAAAACTCTTTTTTATTTATCTCTCTCTCTCTATATATATATATATATAATACATTATATACTAGGATAAGACCCGCGCCTTGCGCGGGATGAAGCTATTATTTCTTGTTTTGAAAAATGAAACAATAGTTCGGTTTCATTCGGATTAGAGGTGTTCAATCCGGATATCGGGTTTCGGTTCGACTCGATTTTTTGGTATTTCGATCATTAAAATATAACTACTACTCTAAATCTATATGTACTTCAGTTTGATTTGGTTTATATACCATCGGTTTTCAGTTTATTCAATTTTATACCAAAAACATAATTATTTAGTTTGAGATCATATTATATATTATACAAATATATAATATGATCATATTTAGAGTCATATTGTCACAGAGTCATTTATTAAAAAAATATTATATATTTAAATAAAAGAATANATCTATATGTACTTCAGTTTGATTTGGTTTATATACCATCGGTTTTCAGTTTATTCAATTTTATACCAAAAACATAATTATTTAGTTTGAGATCATATTATATATTATACAAATATATAATATGATCATATTTAGAGTCATATTGTCACAGAGTCATTTATTAAAAAAATATTATATATTTAAATAAAAGAATAAAAAACAAAAAAAAGACTTCTATCATCTAATAAAATGATCAAATCTAGAATTAATATCAAAACACTAAATTTTGAAAATAAAAATAAAAAATAAAACAGAAGCATGAAAGAAAATTTTTTATATTCTTCCATATTTAGTGTTCATCAAACCAATATGTCTTCGATTGAACACAACTCTGTTTGTTTAAAGATAAAAAAAAGTTGTAAAGAATTTCAACTAATTGTTGTCCATCAAATTTATAATCTTTACTTCAATTTAGTTACTGTTAAAAAAGCAAAAGATCAAAATAAGATGTCTCAATTGTAATAAATTGTAGCTATTTACAAATTATAATTATAGTTCAACTCATGTAACAAATAGATATTCATGCGTCGTTATAAATATATACATATTTACATGTTTCAGTTTAATCGGTTATAAATCAAACCATATTCAAATCCTATGGTTTTTATAAAATCACATCCATTCGGTTTGGATGGTATATACCAAAAATAACCATATTATAAATTGTTAATATCTTTTAAAAATATAAAATTAAAAAAAGAACTAAGATATTAAAATCATTGATAACAAAAATTTTCAATGTGAAAAATTGATTAAGTTTATAATTTATAAATGTTCTTGAAAATTTATTGAAAACTCTGAAATTAAAATATTTATCTAATCTTATATGGTATATAGTTTAATATGTATATATATTTGTTTTATTATTGAATGATACTTTTTACTTATATAGTTTTAAAATCATGTATATCTTTTATAATAAAAATTTTAAACTATTGATCATTAATTTTTAACATAATAATTTTAATAGTTTAGTTATTTATTCTCATTTTTTAAAATTCAAAATATAACCTATACGAAAAAATCTAAAATTTAATTTTATAGCTAATTTGATTGTTTAATTTAGTTTAATAATGTAAAATTAAAGAAAAATGATGGAGGATATATAAACTGTTATCAAATATTTATTATTAGAATCATTAAGTGTCATATATATATATATTAGTCATTTATGGTAATTCCGTACGTTTTATTTATGGAAAGAAAATAAAATAGTAATTATATCTAGGGGATCAATCATTAAGTGTCATATATATATATATATTAGTCATTTATGGTAATTCCGTAGATTTTATTTATGGAAAGAAAATAATGTAAACTCGGTTTGATGCGTGGGATATATATTAATGTAAACTTGGTTACATGTGTTACATGCGTCTGTAATTATTGTTTCCCTAGCAAATTTCAATTGAACCTAAAGCTGTCACGTCAGTTTAATTGATATGCTAATTGATTGACAACTAAGCATGATTACTTTTTAATTATTACAAACTTGAGGTTACATCTTTTCAAATGTTTCTCAATTAATATATAGGGGATATGTCTATTTTTAGTTATTTTTTTCTTTGTCCTGATAAGGCCTAAAAGATTAAAAAAGGTCGGCAACTTAAACTAGGTTTGTACGGTATATAAATAATTGTTTTGTCATTCGTTCGCCTCTCTAAATCTAATCGTCAGCTGCTCTGATAAAGAAAAAGAATGGGGACCACGTCATCCACCGAGTCGACTCCTAGATACGATCTATTCACGTTAGAACACCTCCACGAGCTGAAAGAAGTGAAAAATCTGGAGGACCTTCCGCACAAAGAGAAAATAGTAGAGATGGGTCAAGTTTGTCTACAAGTGTGGTGGGACGGACTCCACTCCTTATTCCCCACCACGAAGACAGAGTTGTCAACAGATCAACCAAAGGAAGGAGTAGACACAGAGGTGAACGAAGACGACCAAGTATTTGAGAGGTTTTCAGATTTCATGAAAGAAGGTGGTTGCAAAGATTCTTTTAAGTCTTTAGTAGACTGTCTTGAGTCTACTCCAAGTATGGCTAGGTGTAAGGAACACTTGCCGGTTCTGAAGAATTGTATGGATGCTCACATTAATTACTATGAGCCCATTCTCGCTCTTGTCAAAGCTACAGAGGAAAAGGCCCTTGCCTACGCCATTGAGGAAAACCGAAAGGATGACCTGGCTGCCATGAACCAAGCTCAAGCTGGGGGTGAGTGACTGAAATGTTTTAGGTTTTCAATATTTTCCCCTACCTTTCTCTTCTTTGTCTGGGGTAAATTTGAAAAGTTTTTTTTTTTTGTGGTTGTTTTACTAGCGTTTGTTTATCTACTTCAATCTGATAATTCTGTTTGATTGATCTGAATTCGTCTGATTTAATTGTTGCTAAACCGATTTAGAGGAACAAAAAATATTAGAGCTGAAGAAATTACATAATGGCTTGTTTCATAGTGCTTATCCAGTTCAAAGGCTTAAAGCCTTGTTTATTTAGCCTTGTTTATTTAGTTATAGCCTTGTTTATTTAGTTATATATCTACCTGAACAGACAAGAAACAAGTTACATCAGAATCATTGAGACGACTAAGTCTTGAAGATGTCTACAATCCCTACAAGTGAATATTACAAACATAATAATCCATCACAGGAAGAATACCTCTATATCATTGGAGGTGCAGCCAATAAACAGAAACAACAGGTTCTAACGTCGGCCAATAGAACTAGGTTTGTGCGGCTGCCATGAACCAAGCTCAAGCTGGGGGTGACTGAAAGATTTTAGGTTTTCAATATTGGTTTTGTGGAAAATTTGTTGCCACTTTTGTTTTACTATGGAATGAAATCAATACTTGTATTTGTTTTAATATTATTATTAGAGCAAAATTTGCTCTGAATTTTTTTTTTTCATGTTAGACCTATATTAGTGGTTCCTTTTAGTCTCATCCCCTTTTCTACTTTGTCTAGGGTCAATTTGAAAAGTTTAGTTCTTTGTTGTTTTACTTTTTGTGTTTAAAACTAGCATTTGTTTTTCCCCACTTCAATCTAATAGAGTGTACATACCTTGGATTGGATGCTCATGTGGCATGTACCATGAGGCATCCAAAACCTGACTACACGAGAAACAAGTTACTTAAGAATCATGGGAGATTACAAAGTCTTGAAGATGTCTATAATCCCAACAAGTGAAAATTGTAACCATAATAATTCAGCACAGGAAGAAAGCACCTGAAACAAGGTTCACTGGTAGACATAGATGATATCGCGTAACCAGCCTTTGGTCCACCTTCCAATAAAAGCCATAACTTGACCAATGTTTCTAGCTGAATATATAAGCAGAGCATAACTGTGAGCTGAATGCTCTCTTCTGCAATAATCATTGTTACAAACGCCACACAAATTTCATATCAAACAACATAAGACTATGTTGTAAGCTCATGTTGTGTATTAACTAGCTTCTAATGTGGTTTGTTTTTGATAAGTTTTCTCACATGCTGCCGGGTAGTGATTCGGTAAGTATTTATGTTCATTGCATCTAATCTTCGTATAAGATTGTTAACACATAACTGCAAAGGTACGTAGCATCAGACTCTTTCACCTTAATTCATCTATTTTGATCAGTTATCATTCAGATATCAATGGATTCACATAGCACACAATTGCAAAGTCAATTTACCACACATAAAGATAAGAAAAAGCAAAGTTACCAAATAAAAATCTTCTTGCGAATTGATTCACCAAAATCTTCACATGCATGACTAACTGAACAGATCATATAACACATTAATATCATTATGTGAACCCTAAATCTTAAAGTGTTAAATGTTAGACGTTTTCATCAAGAACAAACATTTTGTGTAACTTCATATGTCATACAAGAAAACTCCCACAACGTTTTGCTTGCTTGGCGGGATTTGATTGTTACACAATTGAGAGTAAAATTTCATAAAATAACTCAAACCTTTTTTATTTGTTCGCATTTAAAAATCCTAGCTGCTGAATCATTTTCGAGACAATAACAATTAATCTTTCTCACCCTATATAGCTAGCTGATAGGGTTACTTGGTTTCAACACAAAGCAATCTTTTCCTGAACATTTTAATGCTTTGTAATAGCTACGTTGCTTCTCTATTGATACTACATGCGCCGAGTATAATCAGTAATTTGAGTTCTTGATGGCTTCATCAATGGTGTATCACGAGCTCGTAATGATGATGACGATGAATCTTTGTTAGCATCACTATGTTGTTGTTGTTGGCCATCGTTCTCTTCTAACCCGAGTTCACTTTCTAGGTGCTTGAACCATTTACCGACTTCATCTTCTTGGGAGTCTTGATGAGCCATTGGAGCCAAACTGTTCTCAGGTTGTTGGAATGATTCTGAACCATTAATGAAACTCCATATGTTGGGATCTACATCAAAAGGTATCTCCAGCAGCTCTCGTTCGTCTACCTCTTCTAACATCCTTGTAAAATCGTTGTAACCTTGTAAATACTCGAACGTTTTACCTAGCTCTACACCCTTATCCTCTTTTCTTAAAATGTTGGAACCACCAAAAGACATAGACGCATTAGGGGATGACTCTTGAGATGTCTCTTCTCTTTTCAAAGAACCTTTTGTTGCTGCAGCTTCACCATGATTGGCGTTAAGGGGGGTGTTTGAGCTCAATCTTTTCTTGAGATGTGTATGCCACACATTCTTTATCTCGTTGTCTGTTCGTCCTGGCAGTTTAGAAGCAATCTTGGACCACCTGAAACGAAAATGCAGAAAAGATATTGTCTCAATCCAAAAACTTTGAGCCAAGACAAGACAATAACAAGATAACACATACTTGCTTCCAATGCTCTGGTAAAGTTTAATGATGGTTTCTTCTTCCTCTACGCTAAAATTGCCACGTTTCACATCAGGTCTGAGGTAATTAATCCATCGAAGACGACAACTCTTGCCACACCTCAACAATCCTTCATTGCATGCATACATAATATAGGACAAAAATAATCAGAACAAGAAGATGACAAAAAGCTCAAGGAAGAATGAGGCTCTTAAGATCAGAAACATTACCAGCTTGTTCGGGGAGAGATCTCCAATTCTCATGACCGTACTTGTTGATGAAAGAGGTGAGTTTCAAGTCTTCTTCGTAGCTCCATGGTCCTCTCTTCACTTTGGTTTTGTCACAACATGGGGCTCTTCCTTTGCCCATTCTCTGCCTCACACGCACACTTTCCAGTTGGCCCTGTGTGTATATTTATACAAGGACGTGATATGTGATCCCGACAATTACACACATGTTATAAACAAAAGACAATGACAATGGTCAAATCAGATTTGATTTAAATTAATACTATCAATATTTGTGGTTGAAGATCTCATGATTCCTTCTTTCCTAATTATGTACTTCCCATTTGTATGTCAAAATAAATAGTAATTATGTTGTAAATATTATCTCACAATGAATTATAGATATGTTTGAACTTTGAAACTTCAATATTAAGATATATACAAGGCTATCAAATTAGGAAAATAAAAACAATTTCATCTTTCAAAAGAAAACTTCAATATTGAGTCTCACATTCCTCTTAGTCAAATCTGAAACATCTAAAAAATGCCTCTGGCGATATCTATAACTTGAATCCATCCTGACCAGGAAAAGTCTAATTAGGTTAATCCTTGTGATTATTATGATTTTAATAAAAAGAATTGACTAAGCTTGTATAGCTATAAATTTGCGCAACTAGCGCAACCTATATAAGTTAATAACTTAATCGTAGCTTATAGTAAACTTTGAAATTTGACCAACTCATTGACTCAATATGTGGTCATTAAGTTTCTCTAAGTCTAATCAGAAAGGGCCACAAAAAAATTTCTGTCTGGCTATACCAACTTTTGAAAAACTGTTCAAAAGAAAAAGAGAACGAAAAAATATTTGGTAAACGGATAATTCATAAAATAAAACTTTACTTGCAATTGTCTTTTTGTCTATACTTATTAATCAACAAACAAGACGCAAGGATGCTAATAACTTTAGGTTGCCGGCTCATGTTAGGAAATGTACTAGATTATAAAATTGAGTTTGACAGGCTAGGGTTTTAAGAAAATTGTAGGTTTCGAGTCCAGAGCGCTCAGCACCTTTCTGAGCCCGCCATATAACCTGACCATACCCGTGTGCTTCACTAGCAAAAAAATTGACGGATCATATTAATTTGAAACCACTAAGTGTTCCCCAATTCCAAAATGAACTTTTCAACACTAAATCACCTTGAGTTGGTTAACCTGTAAATCAATATATACATACTTGAATAAACCGCTCACTGAACTTACAGTTGCTTTTCATCTCTCATGGATAGAAGTTAAGTTAAGATTCCAAATCAGTAGCGAGATTATGATGTATATATATACTTTCAGTCAAAATACCAAACATGATATGACCAAACTCATACTTACATTAACAGTCTACATGGTATTAAAAGTACTCAAAAATCTGTCATGTATATAGTTTCATATGTCTTTAAATCTAAAATAAATATATAAGATATTGAACTGGAATCAATTAAACTTAATGGATTGATAATGAAGTTAAATTGTTTCGCTTTAACATTAGAGCACATAGAAGTTAGAATTATTATAGGTTTCATTTTTTTGGTGAACAACTTACGAAATGCTATACATGACTTGGATCAATTAGGTTCCACTGAAATAGAAACTTTGGTAAACTAAGTTGAAACAATGGAAAGAAGTTGAACTGTCCCAATGGATGACGGGCAAAAGAAAGATAGTACATAGTCTTTTTTTTTTTTTTGAACAAATAGTACATAGTCTATATCTTAATTTTTCCCTATATTTTACAGTAACTTTTTCTTGTTTATATATGCTTTAGTTTGGTGAGACACCAATGTTGTTCACACTTTGGTCGCAGTTAAACAAGATATTGATTGCCTAACAAATCGCATGTAGCAAAAACCACATTTTATTGACTTTTGTTTTAACAATGGTCTTATTGAACAAGTCATCTTTACGATCACATCAGAAACCAACTATACATTAACTATTTGAATGTGTAACAATAAAAAGTTCTTTTGATACAAATATATTTTAAAAACCTATTTAAAATTTACTGTAATAACAAGAAAACATTCTTGATAATAATCAAAGAAACTCACACGTTCAATATTATATATATACGAGAAATATTATATAATTTATTATGTGCATGCTCATGTTTTCATATTTTCTGAGTTAATAGTGACAAGCTACCTGCGTCTAGACAAAAATATGCATGATAATATTAATACATAATTTAGATGACAGGTGAAATCTCTTAAGAAAATGTTATACTGTGTAGAATCAGATATGCTGAGTCGCGTCTTAATTACTTAAGTATGATATTATGTATGATTGAATAAAAATATAGGTGACTAGTGTAACCTGATCATCACATACCGATGTGTTCGATGATTGAATACTCATGGAATTTATAAATTACACAAATAAAGGGTAACTAATCTTGGAATTACATAGAATAAAAATATAAACATTATATAAGTTGGTTGGTAGAAGATTTGCTTAACAGTGGGGGTTTTCAGTGAGTCATGATACCTAACTAATCACTCATAAGGTCCATACACAGGACTCCATGATTTCTAATACAAAAAATAAGTACATAAATTAGTAAAAAAATAAGTAAGGATTAGACGATCACATTTAGTATCGGTCTTGAGGGCCTCTTTATAATAAGTAAACTTTTACAAAATTTCTTATTGTTCAGTTAGTAAATTGCTCTGAAGCATTTGGATAGATGTTGGATTCGAATCTTTCAATACATTTTTTGGTCAATTATATACTTTAATAGATTTTGGGCTTCCGGCCTAAAATAGTTTAAGGCCAGACCTGATCACATTACATGCGCATGACGCACCTTTCATTTACGTAAAAAAGAAAAATTTATTAGTATAATCATGCCTTGTAAAACTCATGTGTATATATGCACATATAATGTATGTCACTAAAACTTGAAACACAATTGGTAATTTCAAAGAGAGTTTCTGTTACAATCAGAAAATTTAAAATAATCTTCAAGTTAAAGCCCAATTGGTGGGACATGTTTCTATCGTAGTATTTGTAAACAACATGAGAAGAACAAGAAAAAACTCTGCTGAGTCGTCTAAGAAAAATGGCATTTGCCAAACTTTTATAGTATGTGGATACCATATGAACCCTGCATTTAGTCTAAGTCGAGCCCTTGAGAACTTCTGATATGGTTACGCTGTCTTTGCCTTTTTGTTCCCAGCCCTCGATAGCTATGAGTCTAACTCTGCGTGCCGTGTTTTCAGTCGATGTAAATTGATACTAGTGGTGGCGACGTTATGATTGTACTTTGTTTATACTAATATAGATTGTTCTATTATTGTTTTGGTAATGTCGATCAAGCAACGGTTTGAACTTTGAACGACACAAATTTTTTTATACATTATAAAAGTTAGTTGGTGGTGGAGAATCCGATCTCAGGCTGCTTCAACTTCCTTTATGACCTCGGAATTTAAGGTTTCCAAGATATCCTACTTTTCAGAAATACTAGTATTATTATAACAAAAGAAAGAGTGCCATAAATTGTCGTATTAATAACCCTTACCGATCGCATTAAAATGCATTCAAATCCCAAGACCAGTTTTGCTATCATTAATAAATGTATGTCCAGTTTAATTCATTTAAGGCGCTAGCCGTCTAGTTAGGAGGAACTCCCATATTTTTGTTCATATCCGTGTATTTATGTATCCTTATTTTTCTCATAACCAGGCCATCTCAGAAAATAAATCCATTTTTTTAAAACTATTCAACGGTATCTCGTGAATGCTATATGTATATTGAACTCTCTGCGCGTTGAAAATTAAAGAGCTTCATTTTTTTTTTTTGTATTCAACGTTATTATTTATACCCCTTGAATGCTAAAATACCCTCATACACACTCCATTTGAATATTTGGTCCCGTCAACCTACTTTCTTGCAGTTTCACCTTCTTCTTTTTTTTTATTGCCAGAGGAATTCGGTCTGGGTCGCTCGGAGCCACCTCTGCTAATATTGCTAATACTAATTTTGGTGTAAAGCACTCACTTCACGCATGACCAGCTTAACATTTTATTTAGTTTGGTGGGTAACTTTTTTTTTATCTCCTAATATTTATGTTTATTAAAAATTCAAATATATTTTAATTTTTTTAGCATTAACATCTTTATAAAATTTGTTTTTAACATCTTTATTTTTTAGCATTAACATTTTTATGAAAACAAATTATGTACATCTAAAATATTTTAGGGTTTCTTTTCAACTAAATTAATGAATATTTATACTTTCTATATAAAAATATGTATATATAAAGAATATTCAACCCCTTAACTAGTAAGATAACGGGGGATACGGATACAGATTTGGAACGATCGTGTTGTTTGTTCCTCATGTTAGTCGGCCTGATCCCAGTATGGATTGAACCTATAAATACAACAGCATCAACACATACGATTAAGGGCATCTCCAACCCAACTCCATTTTTTACTCTAAAATGGAGTAAAAGGGAATATGGAGTAGAAAACACTCCAACCCTACTTCATTTCCCACTCTATAATAGAGTTTACTCCATAAATGGAGTAATTTGTTTTTTGTTTGTTCATCACTCCATTATGAAGTAGAAAATGAAGTGGGGTTGGAGCATTTTTACTCCATATTCTCTTTTATTCCATTTTGGAGGAAAAAATGAAGTTTTACATTGGAGATGCTCTAAATCAACTGAACTGCTAAATCCGTGGTAATCTCAAGTTAATTTTATTGCTTACCAATTACTCTTATAAGCAACAAAGGTTTCAAATGGCAGTTACCTATACGCATGTAAGTACAAAGTGCATCTGGAGGGGCAAGGAAATCTCTAAGTTAATTTTATTATCGACCAGTAAGTATTCCTATGTTTTGTTCCTACCAAAGTAAGAAGGACGTTATTAATTTCGTTTGCTTGCTGAGCACATTTTACGGTAAATATAAAAGAGATATACACATACCCAGAAAACGAAACATGTGACTCATTGTAAAGTGAAACTATTGATTATATAACGTCATAAAGAATACTACTTGAATTAATTGAAAACAAAGATCGAAAACTCAATTAGTTGGATGAACGAAAAAGTTCGTTGCCACATCTTCCGAAGAAAAGCACGTCATACGTGGTGGCTTGTGCCCCAACGAGCTTACCACAAGTGACATTTTATGGACTTTCTCTTCAAGTTTAATGTAATCAAACATATGCTGACAGAAGCATACGAAATTTGACTAAATTAAGAAGCGTATTGTGCTTGTGTCCTTGATAGTATTTCTAAATTTTAAATAGACAAACACAGTCACATATTGAGTTATTGACTACAAATCAATGGACAATTACAAAAACTAGTAAATTTTGAAACCTAACAAATTAAAATATTAAAACTGTAAATAAAGATCTCTATTCAAATCATGCATTATGAAAAGTGTCAAGTATTGTTTAAGAACTAACTAAACCAATATTTTTTTCTAAAAACTATATCGTTGAAAGACTTATAATCCCAGAAAACACAAATTTTAATTTTTAAGACTTAAATTCTTAATTCCAAAATGTATATAAATGATATATAATATTAAAAAGAGTATTAGTAGTATATTATAGATATTTTCTAATTTTCTCTTATAACAACTAACTATATAGCCGAATAGAGTAACAAAAAGAATATGGTATAGATGAATATTGTTTTAGGTTAAAGATATGTTATTTATTTGCTTGTAATATGATTACGAAAAGTCAAGAAATAGTTTTTCCATAATACCGATGCGGGTTTACTCTCAATACCACATTCGTTCCACTACCTACTTCATTAAATATCATTGACGTGCCCGATACGAAAGAAAACGAAACTGCATTAAACATATCATTCATCAATGCGTAGTTAATTAAGTGAAGTTTCCACGCACTTAATGCATTCTTCTTCGCAGTTATTACACTTTGTGTTTGCTTCCTCCTTGAATTCCTCCCTCCATAATTTATTTATTTATTCATTTAGTAATAAAAAAAAAATATTTAGTTAGCAAAAAAAGGGTCTCTATTTCTCTTCTCTTTTTTTTTTTAACCCAAAAGGTTGGTATGTATTTTAAAGCATTTTGAAACCTTGAAATGTCACTACTGCATTATGGGCTGGTTGATAATTCATAGTACCTAGCATTGCCTACGTAGACATGAAAACGGTTCGATCTCCAAGTTGTCAATTACACAGAAAGTTGAATTTTCACGGTGGAAACAAGTAGCACTAACATAATTGATTTGTCATGCAAATAAAATAAAGTAACTAAACCTATCATACTAAAATAAAATTTTAAACAATAAATGAAAACAATTTTTATTGGCTTTATAAATTTGCTATAACCGGCCTCTTAAACACAAGACTCTTTTTTTCCTCTTCTTGGCCCCATCTATATAACTCTCTCTGCCTAACATATACCCCATAACTGACCTTTTCTCTCTGTGTTCTGCTTTCTGAAATGACCGCTGACGTAAGCTCTCTCCTACGGTTACTAAGTAGGTACAATGACGATAGAACGACGGTAAAAGATCTCCCCGGACCAGGATCGTCGGTGACACTCATGACTCGTGATCTCCTTGGAAGTGGCAGCTGTAGAGGAGGAGGAGGCGATAAGTCGCTGGAGCTTGACCTTGACCTACAAGTCCCCAACGGCTGGGAAAAGCGTCTTGACTTAAAGGTTCGTTTCTATATTTCTATGTAGTTTCATTTTGTAGTTATTTGATCATTTTTTTGAATGCCTTAAAAAAAAATTATTTGATCATTTTTTTGTGGTTATTGGTAACAGTCAGGGAAAGTGTATCTACAAAAACGCAACTCAACAACTTCGTCTCATCATCATCGTCGCGCAGAAGAAACCAACAAAACTTTTCAGACGTTTCAAGATTTAAATATTCCTAGCAAGTCTCCGGTGAGACCATTGTTAAGCCTCTTCGACGACACAAGCCTTGAACTGAAGCTAGTCCCGTCTTCATCATCATCATCACCAGCATCATCATCTTCATCTTCTTCTTCTCTATGTGTTTCATCGGCCAGTTCTAGTTTCCAGAGCGTTTGCACACTCGACAAGGTGAAGTCGGCTCTTGAGAGGGCGGGGAAAGTTTCATCCGGAACGTTAAAGAAACGCAAATCACCAGAAGATAGCGTTTGCGATCAAACCGCGTCTCCCGTGGCGGTTGGATGTCCAGGGTGCTTATCGTATGTGTTGGTGATGAAGAACAATCCGACATGTCCGAGGTGTCATTCGTTTGTAGCTTTGCCTTCCGTGAAAAGGCCTAAGATTGATCTCAACATATCGGTTTGAACAGCCTGGGGGAAAGATTGAATGTTTCTATTTTGTAGGTTTTAATTATGTAAATCATAGATAATTCAGGGGTTTAATTGAAAAAGAAAAAGAAAGACATGTGTGTTATTGAAAATGGATGTGTTAATCCCTTATGATAAAGCCAACTATAAGTGGTACGAAAATGTTAAATCTGATATACTATATTACATAATTCAACCGTACTCCTATCATGTTCTTTTTAATTAAAGGAATAACCCGAAGTCATGGGTTAGTTCGAAGTTAGTTGAAGTTATTTTCAATTAGTTTAATTCACAATACTTACAGCTAATTATTTTTTTTCGTTGCAGCTGTTTATCAAAACCTGATGTATGCTTTTGGTGCTGTATAATAAAACCCTAATGTGCATGATAGTAGTCATTAATTAAGCAAATATCACTTCTTAAGTGTGTTTTGTATCCAATGAAGAAGTTAATTGGAGTATAACGCATTTACTGTTGGCGTAGACTGTTAACTAATGCATAGTGACGAATAAATGAGAACTGAAGCGGAAGAACTGAGTCATTAAAGTTTTTCGCTGACCAAGCTTCAATTCATTGGCAAACCGCAAACGATGCATGTTTATGCACACACACAAATATACAAACATTTATTTCTTTCCGTTTTTATTTGTGAAGAGAGCCATTTTCAAATTTCAATTTTTCTTCATTAAAGTGCAGAAGTCTTGGAAAAAATTAAGTCAAATTCTCAAAAATATATGGAGTACTTTATTGTGCTATTAAAAACAAATAAAAGAAGGATACATTGTTAGAATAGGACCTAAAGTAATTAAATATCTAGTAGAATATTCCCTCTGTTTCTAAATAAGTGTCACTTTAGCCTTTTAATTTTGTTTCAAAAAAAGTGTCATTCTACAATCCCAATGTAATTTTGTACATTAAATCTATTTTTTACCCTTTTGAATAACCAATAGTATTTTACTTAAATTATTTTCATTTAATTAAATATACATTAAATAGGGATATATTAGTCTATTATACAATTTTCTTAATTTATGTGCAAAGAGTCAAAATGACACTTATTTAAAAACAGAGGGAGTAACAATTTTCATTTAAGACATTCCTGACGGAGTGGCCTATCTATATTACTACGTTTTACTAGTTGGTATTTGTCTTTATCATATTATTAAAACTCTAGGTGTATTTATTGAGTCGGCTGTTACAAACTTTCATCTGTTAGACCAAAACAAAATTTTCGTCTAAGTCAATACATTTTTTCGATTACAAACTTATCAAAACCAAATACGCAATAATTCTTTTGTGTTTAATTGGATATTGACTTTCTAATAGATACGTACCAACGCTCCAACCAATGTCCTTCCAACATTGTTTATATGAGTTATTCTATTTGCAAGTCTTAAATCCACGAGTCAGCATCTTCCTCCATTCGTTTAATTTGCACTTAGAGCAATCCTAATGAAGCTCCTAAATTTCTCAAAATATATATGTATTTTGTGAACTTGATGTCGAGAACTCTTCACTGGAATTGTTCTTAGGTTACTTCTTAGGTTACCAAAGAGAGCGAATCAGAAGCTACCAGAATGTATAATTTTTGTTGATAGGACACACTTCTACGTCTGACTAATGTTCCTCCACTTCTCCTTGACGCATTTTGAGCCACTTTATCGTAAAGGATATCCCGAATATCGTGCGCCATGGAAATATTCCTGACGCCAAGGAATTTGCGAAAAGAAATTATGTAGATACATTCGTTAAATCGCTAGCTTATGATCAACCTAAACAAAAAAAAGGTGGAGCTCTCATCTAGTGAGAAAAACCGACACTCATCAGTGTTCTCACCACAGTTGTGCATGGACGTTCACAACATATATATGAAGATATATGGACCATATGGTCACCCTTTGCATGTTTTTTTTACCTAAAAAACCCTACTTAAAATGAAAAGAAAATTTTTGGTTTACACTTTGATAGTATTATTTTAGTTTCATTGGTTTACAAAAAAAAAACCGTAAATGGGATTATTTGAAATTTTGTTTCTTCCGATTCAGTTACTTTGATTTTTTTTTTTAAATTAAATATCAAAACCATTAAATTTACATTTTCTAAAATATTTTAAATTTGTAAGTATAATTATTTAATTAACCTAATAAACCGAACGTCTATAATTCAACTAAGATATTTTGTTAAATTTTTATTGTTTTTCTTTTATTAAGCCACATTTACAATTAATTTGATAATATATTTATACAAAATATATAAGTTGAAGTTCATATTTTCTATTTTTAATTATATTAGCAGTTTAGTTATTTATTGATATGAGACATATATAATTTTACTTTAATGGTAATATAAGAATCATTAGTTATTATAATATTTTAGGTTTTACAGAATATGGATTTCCATAAATGAAACTTATTTTAATATTAATATATGAAAATGAATCATAGTTTAATTTTTTTCCAAAGATATTGCTTTTTTATAAAAGAAATTATATATGTCACAGACTCAAAATTAGGTTGATAAATATCATTTCATAATATTTAACTGAAAGAAACTTGGTAACAACAAAATATAAAAATATTTAATTGAGAAAGATTTGGTAAGGAAATAGAAAAATATTTAATTGAGATAGATTTTAGTAACTAAATATAAAAAATATTTAATTGAGAAAGATTTAGTAATACATATATATATATATATATATATTATTTTTTTTAATAGAGATAGATTTAGTAACTAAATATATACGAAGAATATTAATTGAGAAAGATTTGGTAACTAAATAATGAAAACAGTTGAGCCGGTTTGGTAACCGATAGTACAGAAACCGCCGTCCCGAAAGAGGAATAAGAGCACACGTTTAATCCAATCCACAGAGAATTAGGGATTTTGCGGAGCCCTGAGAAAATAAAAAACAAAAAAATCTTTCTCCCTTGGCTACAGTTCAAAAAAAAGTGAAGGATAGTGATACAAAGATGCTGAATCTCATCAGATCTGATCACTAAAAAACGATTTCAAAGTTTTCCGCAATGGTCTGTGTTAATCTTTACTTCTCAACGCTACGAGAGATTGTTACTGATGTTGTTTTTTTGTTTTGTGTGTTTACAGTCAGTTAGAGGCGGAGGAAGGAAGGAGGAGAGAGGAAGGAATCCTCCGTCGCGGCATCTCTGGGTAGGGAATCTTCCCCTTGGGATATCGGAACGAGAACTCGCCGATAGGTTCTTAAGGTTTGGTGAATTGGAGAGCGTTGCGTTTCAGCCTGCGAGGAGTTACGCGTTTCTCAATTTTAAACATGATGAAGATGCTTTCGCTGCGATTGATTCGCTTCAAGGCTTCCCGCTCAATGGCAACCCGCTTAAGATCGAGTTTGCTAAGCCGGTTAGTCTTGTGTACTCTCTTCCTTTGAATTTGAATTTGAATTTGAATTTTAGGTTTGTGTTTAGAGGAATGATTAGAGATGATATGATTGTTACTTAGTATTTGGAAGTTATCAGTTAGTGTGTTTAGAGGAATGAGTAGAGAGGATGTGATTGTTACTTATTATTTGGAAGTTATCAGTTAGTGTGTTTCATTAGATGTCAAGTGTTGGTAGAATTTTCACAGGCACTCTCACCTATATCATTGCGTCTAAGTTTAAATAACTTAGTATTTGAAACTCGGATGATACTTAATCGTTGTGTCTAAGTTTGTGTGACTTAGTTATGAGCAAAGTAACTCACATGCACTCACCTATATCATTGGTGGCTCACCTTTTTTAAGCCTCACACTCTGCTATATAGCTACTGAGTAACCTAGTAATGAGCAAAGCCCCAGGTCAAACGGGGCGGGACGGGCGGATAATGATTAAAATTCCTAGCTCTACTACTGAGTGTGGAAGTTCAGTAGTGAAATTGATAAGTATGTTTCTATAGATGGGAAATTAGTATAACTTTATATTGAAAACAACCATATCAAGGCCATCTCTATTATCAAATATGCTTCCATATAAAAGGCATCCAGGTTTAACCCTCACAAGCATTCACCTTTATCTTTCACATTACAGCCTTACAGGCACTCAGCCATAATGTTGACGAGCACTAATATAAATTGACAAATAGTATGAACTTAGTAGTAGACGCCAAGTGGATATAAATGTTCAAACGTTAAAAAATACACAATTATCCATGAAGCTTTCTGGCTCTTGTAGCTGGTGTTTACCAAACAACTTTGGATGATTCCATACCCTTCATCGTCAGATCTGCAAAAGCTGCTGACCAAGTTAATAGAATTACCTTGGCATTAGTTCACTTACTGTAAATTTGATTGCTTCAGTTCCCTCTCAGTAGCTATGAAGATGAATGGCATGAACATCTATATGCCCAAGTAACTTTTCCTTCCTTCCACTATTTCGTTATGAACTTAGAGTTATAGACGATTAATACTTTTATTTAGCTAGCAGTAGATGACACACATTCAAATTTTCGACTTGGTATGACAGTAACCCACCATGTGTTCAAGGCCGCATAAAAAGTTCACCATGTCAAAGCTCACCTTCACCATGTTTCATAATTTGCATATGGTCCTATTCAACTTGCCAATGCCAAACAGACTCATGCGTTTGACGTGTTTACTTTTAGACATTAGATCAATTGATCAAGAGCAGCATTTGCTTTGTATTTACCAATTCCAGCCTTGCACCAGTTCATTAAAATTCATCATCACTTCCATTACCTTCCAGATGGTACAAGAAACTAACATGGCCAAACTAATCTGGCATGATTGCATTATCTTCATGTTATAATAAAATTGAGGAGTTCTATTCTCTTTTCGATGTGATGCTGAGGACTGGTATATTGTCTAAAAACTTACATATTCATCGCCATAGGCAGCTCTTTCCATACAAAGAGTTCTAGCTGACACCCAGATGCCCAAGAATTTCCTGAACTTGATTAAAACTTGTTATCTAGTGTCTGTCGTAGATAGTAATACACAGTAGCTTTTCCTAACTCTGAGTCTCTAAGACAGAAGTGTCTTTTCTGCTGCATAAGGGTGTTAACAAGCCTGGGATAGTGTTGTAACTGGATTATAATTATCACATCTGCATCCTGGGGTGTAGTGGGTCGCTTTGTGCTAATTAATCCGCTCAGTTACCTACTCATATACGACTTGACACTGAGCCAACTAAACTTTTTCTTTGGGCAAGTATGGCCAGTCTAGAGCTTAAGAACCTTTTTATTCTTGATCATGCAGTGTAGTAAGGCATTGGGTTAATACTTGTAACTTCGTGATACTGTCTATCGCAGGATAAGTCCTCAACTGGATCACGCACAGAAAATACATTTCGTCATGATGAACAACGATCTGGAGCAAGAGGCTCACCTTTTTTCCAAAAGGACTCAAGAATGCGTTACGAGAGCCCAGACGCATATAGCAGATCAAACAAAATGGGTGATAGAGATGCAGAATCCAGTGAGGTACTATATATAGGATTCCCAGCTTCGTTGAAAGTAGATGAAGCGCTCTTGATGGAGGTCTTTTCTCCATTCGGAGATATTGCGAAGGTCACGATATTCCCTGGTCGTAGTTATGCATTTGTTCAATTCCGTAATATAATGGCAGCTTGTAAGGCAAAAGAGACTCTTCAAGGTAAATTATTTGGCAATCCTCGTGTGCATATTTCTTTTGCAAAGAGTGAGCCTTCCTCATCTAGCAGTGGAAGGGGTCCGTCTGGTCGATCATTCTCTCCACCTTACAGATCTGTTGATCGACTAGGATCTTCAGAAGGTTACTTTCATCAGGATAGAAATTATGGAAGCATGAGCAGAGTTTCCAGTGTGAGAGATCCACATTACATAGCCGATAGGGGTTTGGAAGAGTCTGAAGATTACATGTTTAGCAGGAAAAGAGCCTCTAGACTTGAGTATGATGGAGGCCCTCCTTATAGAAGGTCGAGGTCTCCTCATAAGTTGCCTCAGGATATGCATGAATATCATAGGGAAATAGGTTCCACGTACCGTGATGATCCTCACAGGTTCCCTTCAAGGAGTTCAGTGTATGAAGAGCCACGGGGTTTCTCCGAAGAAGACTACTACTACCAGGATGCCAAGAGAGTGAAAACAAGATCCTTGCAGCCTGAGAGGCAAGAGAGACGCGCTTTTTCAAGGGCATCTTCTGATTTTTCCCCAAATAAAGCCTTTGACCGTAACTATGATGCTGGACAGGGAAGGTACAAGCAAACAGTTGAGAAGCCGTTGAACCTGGCTATAAGAAACGGGGAAATGAATAATAGCTTTCGTGAACCACATGACGAGTTGGTGGGAGATTTTTCTCTCCCTGAAGGGAGAAGGCACACACTTGAACAGATTCGGCCATCACTTAAGGACTGGAACTGGGAAGGGACTATTGCAAAGGGAGGCAATGCTATTTGTCGTGCTAAATGCTTTCCTGTGGGCAAAGTGATGGATATGATGCTGTAAGTTGTTTATTTCTAAACCTTTATTTTCTGTACTACTTGTGATGAAATTTGTTGGTTTGATTTGGTTTATGGTTGTAAATGCAGGCCTGAGTTTCTAGATTGCACGGCAAGAACTGGTTTGGACATGCTGGCGAATCATTACTACCAGTCATCTCAAGCGTGGGTAGTTTTCTTCGTTCCTGGAAGCGATACTGATATTGTGTTCTATAACGAATTTATGCATTATCTGGAGGAGAAGCAACGAGCAGCTGTTTCTAAATTGGATGACACAACGACGTTGTTCCTTGTGCCTCCCTCTGATTTCTCCGAGAAAGTACTTAAAGTTCCTGGGAAACTAAGCATCTCTGGAGTTATTCTCCGGTCAGAATACGAAGGTTCTGGATATGGATCTGTTCAACAGCAAGTTGAGAGAAGATATGGTGAAACATCATATCCAGAGGATAGTGGATCTGTTCCTGATCCGGGTCCAACTGCATTTCTGCGTAGTATTGCACGAGATCTTCAACATTCACCTATGGATCCATACATTGAAAGCAGGCACGATCAATACTCTGGAAGGGTTTGGCCACCTCGTGATGTGTCAGTTACCAACACCAGAACCTCACAGATGCAACCATCTTTGATAGATCTTCAAGAGCATAGCGGGTTTGTTCCTGGAAAGCAGCAAAATGCAGAACCAAGTCGTTTTCGCGAAACGGAAATTCCATCAGGGTTTCAGCCTGAACATGTTACAAACTTAGCTTCTTCTATGTCCAGACAGCAATACCAAGTAGACAACACATTAAACCAACCAGAGAGATATCCAGCAGAGGCTCGAGCAAGTTTCCACCCTTTGCAACACGAGCAAACACCAAGCGCACCTCCAGGGTATCAAAATGTACAGCTGCAAGGTAGCAGCAACATCCAAGAAGGAGAAGAAGAAAACGAGGCTAATCCACAGAAGCGTCTCCAAGCAACGTTGCAGCTAGCAGCCGCACTTCTCCAGCAGATTCAACAATCGAAAAACTAGTTGAAGATCACTTCTCCGACACGCACTACAGTTTCACGAGTATGAAATATTTTACTTGGAGAAGAAAAAGCGTCTAAAATATTACTATTATCGAGATTAACAGATCATAGTGGGTAATATATAGCCAATCTTTTCCAGATTCAGATGATTGTAAAACGTAGTCTCCTCAGTATCTCTCAGTTTACCTTTTGCAAGAAGAAACCCAACACGTTTAATACGAATAAATCATGTTTCTCATTTGTTGTACCATTAGTTAACAAGCAGATGGTTTAGTTGATCTTCTAGCTATTGTTTAACAGTTATAACATGTCACAAGATCCATTTCTGAGACTTGATCGCTGATTTTTTATACAAAGCAGACGCTCACGGCTCAGCCGTTTTGTGGATAAAACGTTTCTGATCACATCGATAGTACTGACAACATTGAGATTACTATGACCCATCTAAACTTTATGTGTTGTTCTGTTTATGTGTACTCTATTCATAGAGGTATTATAAGAATGCCAGCTGTGATTTATTTATTTTATACTTTATGTGAACTTGTAGCTCGAACTTACGTTTCCCCAACATCGTACGAAATGAAGCAACACATGTGCTCATAGATTTGGCATATCAATCTTCTCGCCAGTTGTTCATTGCCAGGTCACTGAATTTTGCTAGAGTTATGAATATTTGCAAATAAAAATAATTGTAGATCTCGATATTCCGGCAAATAGTCTCACACCGTACAGTACCTCAAAATATATTTAAAAGTCCATATCGTACAATTTTGATCGATGCTGTTTATGATTTTGGTTCTAATATGTTTTATTTTTATAGAGCTTTAGTTCGTATTACACGCCATTTAACGAGCTTTGATTCGACTTTAACTTTTAAAAACAAAATGTTTTTAATTATCATTCAACGACAATTTAAGTTTATTTTTTCATGCAGTACTATAAATTCCAATAGCAACCATTTTAACATTAAGAATTACATAGAACATCCAAAATCCATTTAGTTATTGTAAACAAACACATGTTGCTATTCTTTGTTTGTCGAGTGTCTTGAAATGGACCACATCCATATACAATTAAAATGATATACTGTGGTCGCAATATTATTGTCGCCTATTATTAAAATTACAGTTTAATATTGAGTAACTGAAAAATAAATTCTCTTAATTTTCTGCAGACAGTAATTTATTAAGATGTACATTACAAATATACTTTGTGGTAGTACTAGTGGATTATCCACTAAATTGTAGTGACAGTCACATTATTAATTTATAACTTTCGGTGTCAAGAGTTAGCAACAAAAAAATCGGTGTAAAAAAGCCAGAGAGTTAGGCTAAATAGAAGGAAAAACAAACCTACAAAACGAATTTATAGTTTGACAGTATGACCTAAAATGTAAAAACAAAATATGTTACATCTCCCAGTTGTTAATTAGATGCAACTTGAAAATCAATAAGTCATCTTATTTTCACTGGCTGTCTATGTACAGCCAAACAATTTATATCTAAGATTTAACTATGTTAATTTTTTTTGTCAATTATGTTAATTTTTTTTGTCAATTATGTTAATCTAATTGATAGCATTTACATTTTTTCTTTTGGCAACACATTTACAATGCTATAACAAAGCTAAAATGGTTCATGACATCAATATCTTTCTCTCTTACAAAAACATCAAAATAATACTGATAAAACGTTTGTGTACAAAGAAAAAATAGTGATAAAAACGTAAACAATTCGGTATGCGCCAAAAGCTAAAGTGTACGTCGGCCTGAAAAATTATATTAAAATAGTAGTATAAAATTATTTTCTTAGATCTTTCCGTATTTATTGTGGGTATATTTCAACTGCAACTTGGGCGTTTAGTTGTAACTCTCTGTACTTTATCTGAAGGGAACCGTACGGTGCACACATTTCCATACTCTTAGAAAATGACGAATCTATCCCGACGCTTGTCCACAAATTACCATTGCATCCTCTTCCAGTCGTCAACGGTTCTCGGAATATCTTCATTCTTTTTTCTTGGTGGATGCAGAATATATTCTTTCAATAAATTTTATCAGCAGATTTTGAAGAAGGAAATTGAAAAAGAGTTGCAAGTTTACTCACTAGACAACACCTGTTAAGTTGAATAATCTTACTTAAATGTGTGTTGATAAATGATACGTTGAATTCAAGATTTTTAGATTCAAACTTTGCGGTCGAATCGTGCAATTTCGAAATTGAGTTTATTAGATTGTTAAACCAAACGGTACATGAAACGTACGGGGCACACGTTCTTTGGTTTTTTCTCTTTTTGTTTTATTAGCGGCCAGAAAAAAAAAAAAAAAAGACACAAGAGGCGTTTCATTTACAGAGTGGTCGGAGATCTTTATTCAGTTCCGAGTTAAGTTTGGTCTAAACGAAACTTATGTTTCTCAATCAAAGCTAAAGACAGAAGTTGACAACAATCAAATCATCTAAAAAATAGCAAATAAAAACTTGTATTATAGTATTTACAAAATCGTGGAAATTAATGAAGATGAAATTGTTTTTTTTTTTTTTAAAGCTGAGAAAACATCATTTCGCAGTTAGGATGCTTTCAAAGCTACTCAGTAGTTCCAGGAATCACCTCATCTCCAGATAACAACAACGACGCGACGAGTTCTTGAACCTCACCAGACTCGTTGAATCCTAACCGGAGCGTTTCCACCACGCGCTCGAACACGATGACGTGGCAAGGGATGTGGAGAACTCCTTTCTGAGCGTAGCCATATTCCTGAGCGGATCTATTGAGAAGTCCAACGAAGACCGGATGGTTAAGAAGCTCCGCGCTCACAACGAACCTCTCCATCTCCTCGCCGACGTAGACGGGAACGTGACCTGCAGGGACGGTGTTGACTCTTCTCGCTTGGCAAATCGACCACGGCGGCTGCGCGTGGAGACGGTGGTGGCCGCGGCGGTTGCGGAAGGAGAAGGTGGATCTGCGGAGGGAGAATTCTGTGGATGAGTCGGCGACGCGTGAGAGGCGGCGGATGAGATGCTTCATTTTTTTGTTTTTTTTTTCTCCGGTGGTTTTTGAAGAGAGATGAAATAGGAAACTAGAGAGAGAGTGTGTGAGAAGAGAGGGTTTATATAGAGAGTGAGCACATGGAAAGATTATGACGAGCGCATAGTGGAGTACACACAGAGTACTTGCTAGGTACAGACAGCCAAATAAATTTAACTTTTGGGAAAAATATAAAAGTAAAAAATACTGAATTCTTTATTGATAAATTTAATCAAATTCTGTAATGTCTTTTATGATTTACATTTTTTTATGTTAGCAATATCCAGAATTATTTTAAACCATAATTGAGGAATGGATAGCAATATCCAGTTTTTTTTTAAACCATACTTGAGGAATGGATAATGGTGCACAGGATATATAAAAAACAAAAATTCAAAAAAGGTTTAATAGTTAAAATTGAAAATACACCATTTCTCTAACTTTTAATGTTATGGATAATATGGGTGTGGGCTATAGAATTAATATTGAATTTTCGAATGATATTAGATTAAATTACAGAGTATTATTTCTTAGTTTTGTTATTACGTTTGGACTATTTTGTAATTATCCAAAAGGCTAATAGTATTTTGATGGAGAACTACGTTAAAACCAAGTTGTATAAGTTAAACTAGGTGTTTTGTCCGCACCTGCGGGCTTAATAATTTTACTAATATCTATAAACAAATATATAATCAGTTTAAGTAAAACAAAATCAATCATACACTTAAAATATTTAATAATAATCTAAACAAATTCTTTCTATATATAAAATTTTTTATCATCATATAAATAATTTTCCTTACACAAATTAAATGTAAAAATACTCACAAATTTAAAATATTTAGTAATAAATTAATATCGTCTTTGCACATAACAAAAAGAAGTATAATAAAACTATCTTTAGTAATGTTATGGATAACATATTAATAAATTATCTATACATAAATTCTTTGCGAATTAATTTTTTCATAATTATATATATATTAACAAATATAATTATCTTTTAAGGTTAATAAAAACTTTATATCACAATATAAAAAATTAGATAAGGATAATTATCAAATTCATGAAATTCGTTTTTAATTAGAATTAATTATATATTAACAAATATAATTATTTTTCAAAGTTGATAAAGACTATATAAAATAATATCAATTTTTTAAATAAGGATAATTATCAAATAAATGAAATTCGTTTTTAATTTATAATTATATATTAACAAATATAATTATTTTTCAAGGTTAATAAAGACTTTATAACTCAATATAAAATAGTTTTAGATAAAGATAAATATAAAATCATTGAAATTAATTTTTTACTTATGTTTAGTTATATATTGAAATTTTTAATTATTCATTAAGGGTAAAACAGATATTAACCAGCGTAACTTTTAACGTGAGAGTTCCTTTGCGAAAAATCATTTCACAAATAATAGTATAGATATAGGTAAGTCATAAATGTTAAGTAGTAGTATGAACTTAAAAATCAATACAGTAACCATTTCTTTACTTATGTTATCGAAACTCCTAATTCACTTAGTTTTGCTATTTTGTTACTATGGAGTATAATATGAACTGCCAGTTCATTTAAGATATGTAACTACTATATATATGAATTGGCTATAAAAGTCTTTGATGGTAAACCTTCTCTTGTGAACTTTCTAATTATTTTATGCCATTATGTATATTAGTACTACTAATTAGATTATACATTAGAGCTAGTGGATTCTAGACCAACCAAGCGAAGTAGTCCGTGATTTTGTTGAACATCAAATTCGAGTATGATTAACAAGTTGTTCTTAGATCATCATGGTCAAAGGTGAAAGAAACAGGAAATGTTTAAAAATCCTCATTTATGGGGTTGGTGGTTTAGTAGTGTACAATAAATAAAATTAACTATTTTAATTTGGAGTTTTTTTTTAATTTTAAGCAAATTGGTCAATAATTAAAGATGGTTGGAAGAAATCTCCGCTGATGGTTTAAATTCAACCTTCTTTAAGACTGCATAGAGACCAATAAGTCAAATAGAATAGATCGAGAAAAACTGGATTGTGATAATTTTGGAGTTTCTCTGTTTTATAATATCTTTTGGGCGACAAAGTTTGACAATTTCCTAAACATTTTCATACATATACGGTTCGTTTAGATATTTACTTCAATTATTCTTGTCTGCTAAACGTTGTTGGCATGTATCAAACATACAAGTTCTTAAGAAAAAAGAAACTCAAATAGTTACATTTATATAAAAGACCATCGAGGCATAAACAAAACATCGGCCAACTTCAGAGTCACTAGACAAGTTGTTCACGACACTCTTGTCCCTTTGCGTTCTGGATATTGCTAGTTTTGTTCTTTGATTAATTGTTACATTAACTAAAGGCATGTTTACAGAAAAAACAAAACATACTAAAGCGACATGTTTGATGATAACTATATATTTTTCATTACGACTTTTCAACTATTTCTATATTTTCTATTTACATACACATAATAATCGTCTTTTTAAGAAAGTGGATGGGTTCAATCGAAAGAGGGAAATAGAAAAGACAAATTTTAAAATTAAATCCAAGTAAAGAGTTGTATTTATTTATAAATGACGTGCAATTAAAGGTATTAAAGAGTGGCAGGTGGGTTAGGTTGTACGGTCACTCATTCAAACAGAGTGTGACCCACCAACTCTCTGCCTGTCCTTCTTTCTCTTCCCTCAGTACGGAGCAATCTCGTATTATACAAACAAATCTTGTCCACGGGTTAAATATCTTTAAATCTGACTTACAAAATAAAAGACCTTAACATAAAGCCTGTCGGTTTGGCCCATAATAAATTTATTTACTTGGGCCTATGCAAATAACAAGGTCGACATATATTATGTCGGGCCGTAATTTTCCGTTTTTATTTCTTTTGTTTAGCCAGTTACATACAAATTGTACAACGTTTCAATATCATGTACTAATTTAGGCAATGATTGGTTTGCGTAACATTTTTGTCTTTGACTACTGTGGACTAATATGAATATATCGTCACACTTTTAAACCTAATTAAATCTATAATTTTTTTTTGTCCTCCTAAATCAACACACGACGGCATAGTTATTATGCTACAAACCTCCGGTTGAACTGAAAAATCAAATAAAAAACGAAGAAGGAATTAAAGAAACGAAAGACTATAATCATCCTTATTATATATGTTACATAAACATTACACAACAAACTAGAAAAATTTTAGCGAAAGAAAAAACTAACTAGAAAACTTTATTAGCAATATCTTGGATTACAGATCCTAAGAAAGCACCAGAAGAAGTTACATTCAAATCTCCCCGAGCTTGTTGTGTATCAGCAATCGCCAAAAACGAAGCGGTTCTGGATTCGCCAACGTGATTAACCATCGACATATTATGGAAAACAGAAAATAATCTGAGAAAGACAAAGACAAGCAGAGCAATAAGATAACATAACCGCGAAGCGTTGAAGAACAAGTGATAAGCTGCAACTTGAAGACAATACATTTTTTTGGGTCTGTATAACAAAATAAAATTCAGAAGATGATGTTTTTCTTTGCATCGAGAGGTGTTTATATATATATACTGCACATATGTGTGTATGTAATTTCATGTACGTGTATCTATACGCACACAGACATACTCAAGACACCACTCTAGCCGGACGAGCAATTAATGCTGAAAGCCTTTGTCGACACGATATTTGTTAAGCGAACCCGTTTATACCGGGGAAAATGTTTTTGTCCGGTTTGGTTTGCTTTTGATGAATAAACGACCAAGCAAAACCGGATAACGACATGAGTTAATCGGTTTGGTATATACTCCGGTTTGTTTGATTGCGATTTTCACCCCGCGACAGGATATACTATGTACAAATAGTTATTGCGACCATGTACAAACAGTTATTGCGAACCATAAAAAACTGGTTATGCTTCTGTGCATTTAAAGAAATAGGACATACGTAGATACGAAATTTATATGTATTTATACACGTGTCTGGTGATTCATCTCAACTGCATAGATGTGACATCTCAACTTGTAACCAGAAAATGCTAAAAACTTTAACTATTGCAATATGTTTTTATAAATAATTTAATAGACCACTATGGAATTATTTTAATAACAAAAAAGGCCAATTCACGTCACAATTTGTCATTTTTTAAATGTAGGACCAAAATCGCACTAGAATAAATGATAACTTTCCGAAAGTATAATCAAAAGTGGGTTTCTCTGGTTTGGAGGGAAAAGTAAATCAAAAATCGTTTTCTTAAAAATTTCGAACCAAGAAAAATTCAAAAAATCGACAAGAAAAAAAGATACGCAGCCAATTAAAAACATACACGTGTAAAGAGAGGCTTTCGCTTCTGCAAACAACAACAAGCATTCGGACAAGAAGGCAAAACCCTAATCTTCTCGGGCCTGACGTTTCAATTTCAAACACTAGAAAGAGGCAAAAAAAAAAAAAAAAACGTTATCCCTTTGCGACGAGATACGGTGAAGACGTAATGGGAGACGATAGGTTGGATCTCGAGCTCTCCGATGAGGTTCTATCGGTGATTCCGATGGATCCTTTTGAGCAGTTGGATCTCGCGAGGAAGATTACTTCAATGGCGATAGCTTCAAGAGTCTCGAATCTGGACTCTGAGGTTGTGGAATTGAGACAGAAGCTTCAGAGTAAAGAAACTGTTGTCCGTGAGCTTGAAGAGAAGGCGTCTCGTCTCGAGAGAGAACGTCGTGAGGCGGATTCGAGGTTGAAGATGGTCCTCGAAGAGAATGTGAGAAACTAATCTTTGTGTTTGGTTTTGTCTTATGGTTCTGTTACTTGTGTATTTTAGGTTTCGAATTTTCGTTAGTTATGTTAAGTGAGTGTGTGAGTTAGTTTCTTGTGTATTTGTTATACTGAATTGGTGCATTGGTTGATGTTCATAGAGCTATGTTAGTATGGTAAAGGGATTATCTTGAAGTGGTAGATAGGATGTTCTGTTCCGTGGGCTATTTTTGTCTTTCCCTGCTCTATACTGTAAGGCCATGATTAACTCCGGTCTCTTAACTAAGGTTCTTAGCTTCGGCTAAGTTATGAATTCTGGTTAAGAGACTGGGATTAATCATGCTCTAATAACCACACAAGCATGGTCAAGTGGTATGGCGAGATTGGAAAGGTGCTACGCACCCTACCATCTCAGATATATCCGCTTGTGTGGCCAGCCGACATGGGTTCTAATTTTTCATTGCGAGCATCCGAGTAGACAGGTCTCCAGGGGATTAGTCGGTTGGATACATACCCGGGTTATAGAAAAAATAGTGTAACCATGGGTACAAGTTATTGATTGTCTTCCTTTTTTTCTTTGTAAAGATGATACTGAAGAAAGAGAAGGATTCACTAGCAATGACTGTAACAAAACTCACTCGTGATTTGGCTAAGGTAAGAATTTACTGATTCTTTATGGTTTGTTTTTATACATCATATACTCTGGTATTGGAGACAAAGCTAATTGTTTTTATTCTTTAGCTGGAAACATTCAAACGGCAGTTAATCAAATCTTTGAGCGATGAGAATGCTCCTGTAAGTTATTTACACATTATTTTGTTGTTCTATGTGTATTTTAGTGTGCTATCCATGAGGGGTTACTGAATTTCCTGCTTGTTTTCTCTGTATCTTGTATGCTTCTGGTCTCCGTGTTCAAGAGAATAAATTTTGCTTCTCCATTTTTTTAATTACAGCAAACAGAGCCTGTTGATATAAAGGCATGCGACCAGTCAAGTATTGGATCAACTGGTTCATATACAGGCAAAGGTACAGCATCAGACATTCGATTTCCCTTTTAAAAAAAATTGCCTTGTTTGTTTTTGAACACCTCTCAACCAAGCAGATGAAAGGACCAATACATACTCAACACACCGTTCTTACAGTGGATCTACCGACATTAACAATCCAATTGTTGAAGGTAACACTGAATCAACCTCTTATAGTAATCTTTCAGTGTTATGCGTTTAATCTTTATGCTTATCTTAAGAATCACACATGACTTTTTCTACTTTGCAGCTTCAAAATACGCTGGAAACGAATTCTCAATGACACCATACATCTCTCCACGCCTTACTCCATCCGCAACACCGAAGATTATCTCCACAAGCGTATCCCCTCGAGGCTACTCTGCAGCGGTTACTCCCAATAGAACATCCGGTGCAGTTTCTCCCTCAAAGACAACAATCTGGTACCCTTCGAGTCAGCAATCATCAGCTGCTAATTCTCCACCTCGCAACCGTACACTCCCAGGTTCATATTATATGATCTTAGAGACTAGTAACTTGTATACACTGATAACATGGTTCTCATGAAAATGTTTTAAACTCTTTTCCAGCTCGTACACCACGGATGGACGGTAAAGAATTCTTCAGACAAGCCAGGTGAGACCTTCCTTCAGCTCTTCTTGTCTTAGTATATCATTAGTCAAAGTTTCATAATGTTGATTTTATTTGTCTTATATCATTATTAGGAGCCGGTTATCATATGAGCAATTCAGTGCCTTCTTAGCTAACATTAAGGAACTCAATGCTCAGAAGCAAACCCGAGAGGTAAGAAACCGTGGCCTGTGCGCCATTTTCAGTCTTCTTTTGGTATGTCCAGATTATATATTCAAAATGATTGATGCTTTTGACAGGAAACTTTGAGGAAAGCAGATGAGATATTTGGGGAAGATAACAAAGATCTCTACCTATCTTTCCAAGGTCTTATCAACAGAAACATGCGTTAAACTCAACGAGTCTTGAATCTAGACCAATGTTGTATGATCATAACCATTGTAGTATGTGTATTCTCGACCATATCTAGTGACATTGTATTTCCTTTTCACAACAAACAATGAAAGACGAGCTCTGGAAAGTGTTTAGTGTTGCTCTCTTGTGATACCTCGCTTTGATCCTAAATGCATTCTTGATGGAAATTGGCGTTGTGTTAAGTTTTATTCGAGTCGAAAATTGAATATGATTTATACGAACATAGTACACAGAAAGCATCATAGTATTGAAAGTAATATATATTATTCTTTCAGAACTGGAAATCATACGATGAAGATACAACAATATTTCATATAAATGTACATATATATGACTATATATCAATTTGCAACATTAATATTTTAATTAAAGCGTTTATGGGGGGCATGAGACATAGTATTACATCTATATGCCTCTATCTTTTCTTTTTTCTTTTTTACTTTTCCAACATTAACTAAAGCAAAATAGTCCCCAAAAGAAGGCATGCATAAATAAAGTTTATAATCTTAATTCTTTAGTTGCTACTTGCTTCTCTATGCATCTACTTTGATTTACTTTAGTTATATACTTACCACCACCTTCATATAATAATGTATATATAGCTTATAATCTTATCATTTTGCTGTTTTTAAACTATTGCATAGATAAGAATCATAAGATCAGGCTAAAGCTAGCACGACCAAAGAGACTCTCCGGCACCATTCTCGTACGCAAAAGCCATGTCGACGTCATTTGATAAGTCTTTGTTCGCCGGAAGACTAATGCCACTTGCCATGTAGGTCGGCGGTTTAGTGTCAATACGGTGGAGCGTTTTCATATGAACCAGTTCGGCCTGAGCAAAGGCGAGCTGAGTTTGGAGAGTCTCGAGTTGTCTCTGTAATGAAGATATTATTCCTACACATCCGTACACAGGATCCTGCACCCTCGCGTTGGCCTCGTACACAATTGAATTCACGGCGTCGCTCCGGTGGTTCTCCGACAGCACCTACGATCATTAAAATTTGATCACTTAATATTTACTTTATTCGTTTAATGACTTCTATATAGTTTATATGAACTATCTAGCATGTTTAGTTAATGACTAAATGTTTGGTCTTCTCATGTAGTTTTAGGGTTTAATGCTCTTGCTCAGATAAATATTTGATGGTGTTTTTTAGAAACTTTCAATGATGACTCTCAAATGATATTGTACTACATGTGATGTCTTTATGTAATAACTATATGTTTGAAACACATGATGGCGTTTTGTTTGTTTGTAATGATTTTGCAAAGACATATATTAACAGTAGAAAATAGTAAGAAGTCGCTTTTATGTATATAATATATTATTCACCGCGTGATAAATTAGTAATAAGATAACAGATTAAGAAGAAATAATGCATGATGATTCTGCCTTTTAACGTGACATGCAATATAAGACTTTTGATAGAAACTAGAAAGTGACTTCTTACACTATACTTACACGCGGTTTCGATACTTTCCGACGATAAAAAATACTTATAAAAAGTAAATATGATTAAGACATTGACAAGATCAGAAACATTTACAAATTAATAAAATCACAACTAATTAAGAATTTAAAACAAATTAAAGGGTTTAATACGCATGAATGATCATCCAAACTAATCTAAAATGTAAATTCTTGATTTACACCAGAACATAAAATGTAAATTTTTTCATGACACTATCTCTGCAGCTTACAGACATTTAAATTGCCACTTAAATTCACCTCATGGTACAGTTGCAGCAGAAATAAACCATAAAGTTACAAGCCCTAGTCAGTTTCTTTTTTTTTTTGGGGTCAAACAGTATACATAATAACGCCTTTTCTCAGTACAAGTATATCATAGTTTTATTTTTATATATCCGGTCATAAATATAACAGCAAAAACAACAAAACAGAGAAGTGAATTTTCACCTGCAACATCTTGTTGACATTACTAGCACCGAAAATCTTGTGGACAATGGCAAACTTGTAAGGCTCTTTAGCCGGGAAATATGGAGCAAAGACGCAGTCTTTCACACATTTTCGCCGGAGAAGCTTACAAGCGGCACAGGGCGACACTGCTCCGTGACTGTGACCCTTACGTCTCATTTAGGAGAAACAGTTTTTGAGACTTGAAAGCAAATGAACAAGAAGAGAAGAAGACTTTGGAGAATAATCAGTGAGTTTCTTTATATAGAGAATAAGAAAAAGTGAGACATGAAATCTTCTTGTGTGGGTCCAACCCTAAAGTAATAAGTCATTGGATTTGCTTTGTTTGGACAAAAAATCCCATCTCTATGCCTTAAGATTTCCATGGCCCACCCGGAAATTTTCTCACAAGTTTTTTATAAGTATGTTTACGTTGAAATATTTCTTTTTATTTTGTTTGTATATCGATTTGAATACTATACGTATAGTTTTTTTCTATAGTTACTTGCAAGTTGAAGCAACATTGCTTCTCTGTTTTGGTCGGGTATGGAATTGTCACTTCTTGGTGAATCAATTTATAGTTTTCTTTATAATCATATGATATCGTTCTGATACGATTTTCTGATGCTGTAAATCTGCTGATGTTGGTTGCGAGTCAGTCAAGTAAATACAATTTGTCTTATAATAATTTTGATTGCTTAATAGTTAACTCATTGATTAATCAACAAGTAACACGGCATTTTAACATATACTATCAATAATAACAATATTTTACAGTTTTGTAAACTATAAAACAGTAGTTTGATCTCTCACATTATATATATATCATATATGTATCAACAACAATAAGATCATAAAAGGATGAATAGTTAATCAATCATAAGTTAACTACTGAAAGAAAGATATCGTTTGCTGAAAAAATTAAATATACATTCACACTCATGCAGTTAATAGTTGGTGTTCCTGGTCGGTTGTTATAACTCATACCATTAGAAAATAAAATACTTGAAAATGATTATAACTATTGAGAAAAAAAATCAAATAATTAGTAATAGTTTTTTTTTTCTTTTGGGGTGTAAGCTATTATAACTATCGTACAAGCCAAATAAAGATACTATTTAATAATTTCGTGATAAAGATGTTCATTTTCAATATGAAGATTTTGTTTTATTGCTGCTGTTGTTGACAAGGATTAATAAAATTAAAAAGAACCTGCAAGAAAAAGAAACCAATCAAAAAGTTAGGAAATTGATTTGTAGCGAATCTTAATAAATGGGTTAGGTGATTAGTCGGTTCACTAATCTAATCAGCATTAATGTAAATGGGCTTTTCAGTTTTGGGCTACAAGTTAATAGGCTTTTCCATTTACAGGTTTTAGCTGCTTTCCTTTTTTTCTATATTATTACATAAAAATACAAAAGAGGAAATATATTTTTTATTTTAAAAAAGCCGGGAATCACCGTCGTTGTTTTTTCTCGTCGACGATTTTTCTGAGATCAACAGCAAGAGAGATAGAGAGAGAGAGATTATCCTTTGGTTTTGATCTATAGCCATGGAAGAATTTCTGAAGGAGTTTGGAGATTATTATGGATACCCAAATGGTCCTAAGAACATCAAAGAGATCCGTGAGACTGAGTTCAAGAGATTAGACCAAGGTTTTGTTTTTATTCTGTTCTTCAAATTGTGTATGAGTTCTTTTCTAGGATCTCAAGATAGTTCGAAAAACTGAAGCTTTTGAGCTGAAATTGGGTTGGGTCCGTGTAGGAACAGCCAAACTACTTAAAGAGTTTGGTCGGTGGAAAAATTGGGATTAGTTAGTAGAAATTAGGTTATTTACGTAATCAATGAGATTTATTATTATCTGGGCTTGTAGTCTTATAATCATTGGTGATACACTGATCAGTTCTCATTAACATTTCAGATAATTTTTTTTTTTTTTTTTTTAGAATGAATCAAACTCTGTGCATGTTAGTATTTGGTATCCTAACGAATATAAAAAGTCTCCTTCCAGTATAATGTTTCTCCTTTGTCAGTTTGTTGTTAAAAAAAATTGAGTTTTGAAGTTTGAGCTTAATAAGTTCATGTGGTATGTGTAGGTGTTGTTTACTTGGATCATGCTGGTTCTACTTTGTATTCTGAGTTGCAGATGGAAAATATTTTCAAGGACTTTACCAGCAGTGTTTATGGAAATCCACGTATCCTCTTATTTTGGATCTATTAAGACATGTTTTACATTTTGTTTTACTAGATGAAATGGCAGATCTTGAGCTTTGAATCTCAAGATATTGTATAAGTTTGTGACTAAAGGGGTTCCTTAATAGTGAGATTTAGATAGTCAAAGTGATATCAGTTCAGCAACCAGTGAAATTATAGCTGATGCTCGGCGTCAGGTACAATTTTCTTAACATTTCCTGAGCTGTTATCCGTAGAATATGGACAATTTCTGTTTTCTATTGGTTTTGTTAATCTATCTGCATTGCACACTGGGGTCAGGTACTTGAATACTTCAATGCATCTCCTGAAGACTACAGTTGCGTGTTCACGTCCGGAGCCACAGCGGCACTGAAGCTTGTCGGTGAGACATTTCCGTGGACTGAGGACAGCAATTTTGTATATTCCATGGAGAACCACAACAGTGTACTTGGCATTAGGGAATATGCGTTAGGTCAAGGTGCTTCAGCATGTGCAGTGGATATTGAAGAGGCAGCTGACCAGCCCGGTCAGCTAGCAAGTTCAGGACCATCTATCAAGGTAAAGCCTCGTGCTGTGCAGACGAGAAACACCTCTAAACTCCAAAAAGAAGAGTCAAGAGGTCCGTTATCTCTTTGTTTTTTCGTACTGAATAAAGTCTGTTCAAGATGTAGAGTATGTCATATTCTTGTGTGCACGGTCGACTTTACTTATCCTGTGTATCACGTTTTCTTATATTTACAGGAGATGCCTGTAATCTATTTGCTTTCCCTTCAGAGTGCAATTTTACAGGCTTGAGGTTCAACCTCGATCTGGTGAACTTGATTAAAGAAAAAAATGAAGCTACCCTAGAAGGCACTCCCTTTGCCAAGTACGTGTGACTTACACTCTCTCCTCATCTCTTATTCTTCTCAGTCGCTTGAATTGGTACTACTGAATGTCTGTCAGCATCTAAACTCAGTTGAGCTCCTTGTGCATAGTGAATATTTCATGTACATGATTCTTGAGTTTGAGTTGTATACAGCCTTTGAATAAAATAAGTAGTGATATCCAGAAATGAACCGTGCACATTTTGATGATTTAACACAACTTATAGTATGAGCCCAACAGCACTTGGAAACTTTTGGAAGAACTAATATGGCTCGATCCGATATTTCTCCTTTTATTGATTCCAAATTCGTATGGAAGTTGAAGAAGTTAGTTTTATTGGTTTTATTTTGTTTTTGCTTGCATCATGGCTTATACACTTGTTATTAGGAGCAAGCGGTGGATGGTTTTGATAGATGCTGCAAAAGGCTGTGCTACTCATCCTCCTAATTTATCAGAATTCCCTGCAGATTTTGTTGTTATGTCATTCTACAAGGTAATTCCTGGAAATTTTGTATAGATAAATGAGTTAGGTCTTTCGTTATCAGATTTTAACTTTCTTGTTTCTCATGAAGTTGTTTGGTTATCCTACTGGGCTTGGTGCTCTCCTTGTACGGAATGGTGCGTAATTGTTCCCGAGGTTCATCTCATTATGGGAGTCTTCATAAATGTCTGAAGTTCAGAAACATTCTCTTTAAATTCACAACTCAGACAAAGCAGTTCTGTTGTTAAGATCTCCAATATTGTGTTCATTTTACTGTTCTTTCTTTTCAGACTCATCTCTCAAGCAAGATCTACTTGTACTATTTGCTGAAACAAAGATTGCAAATGCTGGTTTCTGACATGATACTTTTCTCTTTAATCTACAGATGCTGCCAGGTTGCTTAAAAAGACTTACTTCAGTGGAGGTATGCATCTCTTTTGGTTGTGTGAAATGGTTGAATTAGTATGACATCTAATGAAAAATGCTTACAGGAACTATTGCTGCTGCAATTGCTGACATTGACTTTATTAAAAGAAGGGAAAGGGTGGAGGAGTTTTTTGAGGACGGGTCTACTTCGTTCTTGAGCATAGCAGCCATCCGCCATGGATTCAGATTACTCAAGTCCCTTACTACTTCAGCGATTTGGATGTGAGTAGAACTTGTGCTTATCTTGTAAATTGACTATAGATTCTCATCTCTATAGAAGATGATCTAGTTGAGCCTTTGCTGCCGTTTTGAAGACTCATATGCTGCTGGTCGTTGTTAATCATTGTTTGAAATTTGTAGAACTTTAAAAGTTACCTCCAAACCATCTGCAATTGTATTAAGCTAAAGAGTCTTCTGTATCTATTTCCCAGGCACACAACATCACTTTCCATATACGTGAAGAAGAAACTTCAGGCTCTAAGACATGGAAACGGAGCTGGTGTATGTGTTCTGTATGGCAGTGAAAATCTGAACGTAAGCGCTTTCAAAATAAAAGAGAGATTTCTCGTTTCACATAATTTATCAATCCTATGCCTTTCATTTATTTGGTCAAAAATGCTAAGGAAAACAAGGAATATTAGAGAAAGAAGAATCTTGGAATTCAGTTCGTGACCATAGTATTTGATTCATTCTAATTTTTATTTTATAGTTATCTTCACATAAATCAGGCCCAACGGTTACATTCAACTTGAAGAGACCTGATGGCTCTTGGTTTGGCTACCTTGAGGTGGAAAAGCTTGCTTCTTTATCTGGAATTCAGTTACGGGTATGTTTTGGAAACACAGTTCATTTTTCTTCCTCCTTGGATTCTTCCATTTATCTGAAAACAGAAGAGAAATTACTTGAGTAAGATGAGGGTTTTGCACTCTTTAGCAATGTGTAATCTTGCATTAAGTTACTTGATGCGGAATCCATTTTGGTGTAGACAGGATGCTTTTGCAATCCTGGCGCATGCGCAAAGTATCTAGACTTGTCTCATTCTGATCTACTGTCTAATGTTGAGGTACAATTGTTCTCTTTTTAACCTTTTTGCTTATCATTCTTCTTACTGGCCTTGAGTTACCAGATAAGAACATGAACCTGACATCCTTTATTATAACCCAGGCTGGGCATGTTTGTTGGGATGACAATGATGTGATAAATGGAAAACCAACAGGGGCTGTTAGGGTTTCGTTTGGTTATATGTCAACCTTTGTAGAGGCAAAGGTATATGTAGGTTTCTTTATTTAGCTTCTTCTCAGTTCCTTGTGTGGGAGGCTGTAGAATTTATAAGCAAAGCTCATTTATGCTCTTCTGCTGTGGTTACCTAATTTGAAGTCTATTCTTGGTTTACAGAAATTTATTGATTTTATCATAAGTTCATTTGTCACACCTTCAACGAAGATTGGGAACGGAATTGCCGTCAATGGAAGGTTTGCTCAACTTCCTAGTGAAGGTATACTCTCTTAAATCTTTGATCACGCTTTATCACGCTTTCTTCCTAATAACATAGCTGTGACTTGGTATAATTGATTCCGTCGCTCATTCTCTATGATGTGACTTTAATACTGTTACCATCGTAACAGGCTAACCATTCAGTAGTCTGGTGAATTGATGCTTGTGTTAGCTACACTTATTAAGCGCATGTAGCTTGTCGTGTCTTGTATTGTTCTAGGTAGAAAATACACTGGAGACTATATATGGTGACTGACTCTAATGGCACCGGTCTTTTGTTGTTGTTGCTGAACAGAATTTGAAAGTAAAGAATCCTTTCCAAGACACTACCTTAAATCAATTACCATATACCCAATCAAGTCATGTGCTGGATTTTCAGTAAATCGTTGGCCACTTTGTAGAACAGGTATTTCATTTACCTTTGCTTTCTCATACTCTAAATCACTACAATTTAATGCAAGCATATCTGGTTGGCCTGATCTCTTTGGCGTTTATAATTAACTTGTTCGTTATGTTTGAAACATACTAAGGCCTACTGCATGACCGAGAATGGATGATTCAGGGTCTGACGGGTGAACTTATTACCCAAAAGAAGGTACTAGACCATCTTCTAACTTGAATCTCTTTATCTACAGATCTCTCAGCAAAGTTTTGATTCGTTTGGGAATGTCTTCTAGGTGCCTGAGATGTCTCTTATTAGCACATTTATCGACCTTGAGGAAGGACAATTGGTTGTAGAATCTGCTCGCTGCAAAGACAAGTTGTACATCAGAATCAAGTCTAATCCATATAGTCCAAAGAGTGATGTGCTCGATTCCCATGACAACATGTATGCATTGCTTGCTCTCCCTAACATATGATATCTTACTTCAGTTTTTTTTTTGGGATAAATCTAACTATTAAGTGTGACTTTCGGATGTAGACTTGAAAATCATAACAAGGAAACAAGAATCAATCGTTGGTTCACCAATGCCATTGGTCGGCAATGCAAGTTGTTACAGTATTCTAGCTCAACTTCCAAACACTGCTTGAACAGAAACAAGAGTCCTGGCCTGTGCAGAGTCTTGGAAAGCAATATAAACTTTGCTAATGAAGCTCAGTTCTTGTTGATCTCCGAAGAGAGTGTTGCTGACCTCAACAGAAGATTAGAAGCAAGTACGTTTATTATATCTCCTTTTTTTTAAATCTTACATCATATTCCTGATTCGCTCTTCTCTTGATAAAACTGATTTGGTTGCAGAAGGCAAGGATTCCAACCGAGATCTTGAGAAACTAAATCCACATAGGTTCAGACCAAATCTGGTTCTATCCGGAGGTGAACCATACGCAGAAGATAAATGGACAACTCTCAAGATAGGAGACAGTAATTTCACGGTATGTCCATGGACCCGTTCAACATTTGATTCATGATCATATTGTACAAATGTCACATTATTTTTTTTTGGTTTCTCAGTCGTTGGGCGGTTGTAATCGGTGCCAGATGATAAACATAAGTAATGAGAGTGGACAAGTTAAGAAATCCAACGAGCCTTTAACAACTTTAGCTTCATACAGGAGAGTAAAGGTTCATCATTCTTTAACAATCATTCTCCACAATAAAATAATGGCTGTTTGATAATTGTTTGTGAGGTGACGTCTCCGTGGTCTTTTCATTATGGATTTTCAGGGAAAGATCTTGTTTGGAACTCTTCTGAGATATGAACATGATACAAAAGTAGAGTCTTGGATTCGAGCTGGAGAAGAAGTCAATCCAGATAGAGAATAGGTTCAAGCTCGAACCTTCGTGTGTATTAGTGTAATAGTGTATACAATAATTGCATCTTCATTCGTGTACTTGTATGTGTATACCAATAATTGCATATAAACAAAAGAAAACCACAGGAAGACAACATGCATTTCAGATTCAATCTGGAAAGCTTTAATATTATAATATGTATTTTATTCCGAATAAAAATAGAAGTGTTTGTAGATGATAAATTAACGTTGTTTCATTCTATTCATATATTTTATTTCATTATCTCTACTTGATAAATATTACAAGATAAGATAAATACGAAAATTTAAATAATAATTATGTAGAAGTAAATCAAATGAAACGCATCGTTTTAGTATAAACAGAGTAAGCTTTGGTTTCTCCTTGGTTCTGAAAAGCATAACTTTGTTGCGAAGACCAGACTCTCTAACTCGGAGGTATGTCCCATCTGATCTGCTATTTGTTTTTGTTGTTGTCTGTAGATTCTATCTGATAGGTTCTCATCTTTGTGTGTCTCTTGCGTGATTACTAGATCTCTCTATGGAGGTTTACGGTCTGATTTCTTTTTTTGGTCAAGTCTGAATTTGATTTACTTATATATGTGTTTTTGATAATCTGATTGAATCTGGATAGCTTTAAGATTATACTATGAACAAATCTGTATACTTTAGGTTGTTGTTTTCGATCGTTGACGAAGAGATTCTGAAAGTCTTTTGAGTTTGGAATTATACTTAAAGGACATTTTTTTTTTCTGTCACAATTTACATTCAGGAGAATGATCACTTCCTTTTCGTACATTATTTAGTGGAATGAATCATATGGCTTCATTCTAGTTTTGTTTGTTTACTTTTGATGGTCTGATTTGAATTTTGGAATATTAGGTAGTTCCTTTAAGTGATCTTTCAAAGTTCTATTGCGCAGTTATAACTCAGTGCTTTGACTGCATTTTTCAGCTTGTTGATCTGCTCAAGATGGCAGTTCATTACTGGACAGCTCTATTGTTAGTGTTGTCATGCCTTGTCAGTGTTTCGTATGCTAGTCTTGGCGATGCCGATCCAAATTACAGGTATTTCTTTTAAGTTTCTTTAGGATTCGTGCATAGGTTGCCTTTTAATGTTCACAACAAGATGCCCTGTTTGTTCTTCGAGTTTCTATCATGAACTTGCTTTTTTTTTGGTTAGTAGTACCTCCGATGTTGTTATCAGTATTTCGTTCATGGAAAACTATGAATTATCTGGCGATTTTTTGGGTATCAGGACATGTGTAGCAGAATGCGAGAGAAACGGTTGTGTTGGACAAGTGTGCTTTCCTCAGTGCAATTCTACATCCAGTGGTGGTGGTCCGTGGTACACACAAGAACCTCTGTATTTACAATGGCAAAAGTTGGGCTGTCAAGGTGACTGCCGTTATCACTGTATGGTTAATAGAGAGAAAGAGCGAGAAACTCTTGGTCAACTCCCTGTTAAGTACCATGGTAAATGGCCCTTCAAGCGTGTCCTTGGCATTCAGGTTAGACTTTTTTCGCGTTAACTGTCACTTGTTTTCTTCACTCACGTCAAACGCAGTTTGATTTTTAACTTTGTTTTGTTGTTAGGAGCCTGCTTCTGTTGCTTTCTCTGTGCTCAATCTAGCAATGCATTTCCATGGCTGGCTTTCCTTCTTCATTACACTATACTATAAATTACCTTTGAAACAAGATAAGACGGCTTACTATGAATACGTTGGTTTGTGGCATATGTACGGTCTCCTCTCCATGAACTCTTGGTTCTGGAGTGCAGTTTTCCATAGTCGGTAATCATCTACACCTTACTTTGATATCCATAATCTACTTCATATATCAAATGATTTTTTTGGTAATCTGTCTCTATGGTTTCTCAGGGATGTTGACCTCACAGAGAGGTTGGACTACTCATCTGCAATAGCAGTTCTCGGATTCTCACTCATCTTAGCCATCCTAAGAACATTTGATGTTCGTGTCGAGGCTGCAAGAGTCATGGTATCCGCTCCAATACTAGCTTTCGTCACCACACACATACTATACATCAACTTCTACAAACTGGACTATGGTACACATCAGACTCTTTCCTCTAATCTGAAACCAAGTCGATATGTTTTCTTTTACTGAAGTTGAATTTAAATGTTGTTTACAGGTTGGAACATGATTGTGTGTGTGACCATGGGAGTCGCTCAGCTATTGCTATGGGCAAGATGGGCTGCTGTCACGAGACATCCTTCTAGTTGGAAGCTTTGGGTGGTTGTGATAGCTGGAGGGTTAGCTATGCTTTTAGAGATATATGATTTTCCTCCGTATGAAGGCTACTTCGATGCTCACTCTATCTGGCACGCCATCACAGTTCCTCTTACTGTTCTCTGGTGGAGCTTTATTAGAGACGATGCTGAGTTCAGAACATCTAGTCTTCTCAAGAAATCTAAGACAAAGGCGAAGTAAGTCTACTTGATGAGTCTCACAATCACTGGGGAAAAGACGAAAGAATTTGGAATCAAACATCAAGAAGAATCGTTTTTGTTTTAAAGATAGGTGGTCTGTTATTTAATTTACTGACAGTTGCAGAGGTTTCTTGTGTTTACAATGTTTTTAATTCAGAGATTTGTCTCAGCCTTACTTTTGGTAAGTTTGAGAATTTGATAACAGTCTCATTCATACACACGCTTTTGCCAGTCTTGTTAGAGTCGAGCTATTGTCAAATATCTTGAGACAAATCTTGTCATCTATATGATTTTGTTAACAAAATTTTGATTCTACATAAACTCTCAAGCACACCAGTTTTGAGTTTTCTCTTTCATCAATCAGCGTTTTGAGACACGACCTGCATGGATCAGACATCTTTATCAGAAATAGTTCAACAAAGGAACATGCGTGTGAGATAGAGAGAGAGATGATGGATTTTGCCTGAGTAATCAAAGGTTTTGCACAATCTTCCCACTCTGTAGCCCATCGACCCGAAGAACCAGTCTCCATTGCACCCGCTTTAAGTGACATTAGGGCATCGCAGTTCCCAGGAAAGCCCTTGAAGAGAATCTGTTCAGAACAGAACAAAACAGAATACAATAATAACGTTACTGATGTTAACTAAGGTTAAACAAGTGTCTTTATAAGAAAGACAGAGAAGTTACTTACCAGTAATTGATCTGCTAATTCTGACGAAGATGAAAACAAGAGTCCGTTCTGCCCATCTTTAACAAGTTCTTGAATGCTTCACAAATGTTTTAGGTTAAATAGTTGTTAAAGACTTTATTCGTGAAAGTATTAAAAGTCGGTGATAAATTACCAGGAGTAGGAAACTGAGCAAACTGGAAGGCCACATCCAAACATATCAACAACCTAAAACGCCAGACATCGTTAACAAGTAGCCAAATGACTTTATTAGTGCATATGAGGTCTAAATTATAACGGACTTACCTTCATGGGAAGGTCTAAACCCGATGAGGAAGTGTGTAAGCAAACACCGAGATCTGCAGAACCTAAAAGCAATGGGTAATCTTCAGCTGTGAGCCACATTGTACGAAATGCCACATGTTTGAGGTTTAATCTTTTGATTTTCTCCTCGTACATCTCCTTTTCAGGTCCTTTACCTTCATGGACAAAATAAACGGCTCAAGATCAAAAACAAAAACAGCGAAATATCATTATATTCTGAAACAAGAACAACATCGTCTTTACCTGTAATGATGAACAACAAATTGGGATAAAGATGTTGCTCAGCTGTATCACTTCCTTCTGATCTTGCAGCAACACGCCGATCATACATCACTGCGGCTTCCAATAAGATACCAAAATTTTCATCAGGGGTCCTGAAAAAATGTTCACGTTTCAAGTATTCATTGTCAGGGAGAGATGAGGCCACAAGAGTGAAAAAAAGTAATCAAAGAACGATGATGTGTCCTTACCAGCTTGTACTGCTCACAACAAGAGCGGGTCTGTTTTGCTTCAGCGAGATTTCATCATTTATTTTGGTTGTAAAAAGAGTTTCGTTAAGCTCTTGATTTTCCAACTCTGAATTTGAATTAAAAGATTTGGCATCAGAATGAATGGAGAAGCTTAAAAGAACCAAAACATGGAACTAATATTTAAATTTGAAGGATATACCTCTACTAATGATATCATATACACCAATGGGATGACATAGATCTTTCTTCACTCGGCAAAACAACTGAAGAAGTAACCAAATTTTCCGTTACCCTTAATACCACACTCTACCTGGATTGAAAGTGATTGATGAAACTAATCTAAAAAGGGAAGAAAAGACTAGCTAACCTCATGCCTTTCTTCAAGCAAAGCGGGGCGGAAAAACTCAGGAGGCTGATCATATAAAACTTTGGCACTGTATTTCAATTCAGAACGTTATTGCATTCGAAATCAGAATCAAAATGTTGCAGGTTTATGATCTATGAGTCATTTCATCTCACCTCACTCCCCAGTTCTGTTCCAACTCATGTTGCATTGCTTTTGTCACACAGAGCGAGCCCGTTGCCATCTTTCCGTAATACTTCTCAAACCTAAAACGGCGCAAAGAATACCACTTTCACCCTTAGAGATAAACAAGTTCCATAGATAGTTTGATACTTGGTTGTATACCTACCAGCGGTATAAGGATACAAAGACATTGTTTCTTCCTAAAGACAATGCCAGCAATGTATATCCAAAGTTATGCCAATCTACAATAAACGCTGCACGCCTCCATGAACTCGCCCACTTAACAGCAATTAGTGTTGGAACGGAAGGTGGATTCTGCAGAAACAACTCTGTAAACCTTCTAAAAATTTCACAGACTAAAATTTTCAAAAGATTGTACCTGAACCAAGAAAATGTCAGGTGCTGGTACTTTAACGAAAAGAAACCAGAGAAGCATTGTAAACTGAATCAATGCCTTGAGCAAGAGAGTTACAGGATAAAGTATCTTTGGCAAGAGGTTAATGAATCTAGGCTGCGCCTGTTTTACACCCCCAAAACAGAAAGAAGGAAACAGATGATCATGATGTCATCTACATATTTTCAATCAGTTTATGATTTGAAGGAAAAATACCATGGTATGGATATGGATCGAAGGGTGTTTTAAAACAGCTTCATGAGGTATAGAACCTATTCATGAATATCAAAACCATTTAAAACAAATGCAATTATGGAGTCACAATAACATGAAGAATTGAGAATCCTTTTACCTCCATAAGCAACAATGTCCACTTGAAGTGATGCCTGTATTGTTCATTAATAAACTAAGGGTTTCAACAAACTAAGTCAAACCAATAGAAGAAGTGATCAATTGAGTAAAATGAGAGGTGAACCTGACGAGCAAGAGACAAGGCGTGATATTGCATACGAGGACTTCGACCAAGATCTCCAAGTACCACTACACAAGCTCTTCCTCTCTTCCCCATACGTATCCTAAAATCTCATCACAAAGTTAACTATTAGCACCTTGATCTCATCCATGAGAAACTATAAAGATCAACACTTTCAATGCGAGATTTCTAGATGCAAACTCCAAATTCGATTACAGATCAAACACGGATTTGAAAATCGAAATCTTACGGTGTCTTCGTCTATGATGCTCCGGGCAGGCAGAAACTTTTTTTCCGATGAGTGACGCGGAGGGGAAAGTGATACACTAGTGGACTAACAATCTCGGCCCGATAAGGAATTAAATGGGCCCATATCCTAGAAGCCCATATCTTTTTTTTTTAATGAATGTAAAATTTATTCAATCAAAACCATGTTTACATCAAGTGCCACATTTTTGCAAGGCAACAAGAAAATAAAAACCTATTACATCAAAAAGAAGCTTAAGAAAACAAAGAAATTCAAAAACTTCTTCACAACTCTCTCCCTCAAGCTTAACCATATGGAACAAGTCAAGCTATGGGGGGCTATGTAACTTTCCTCATTAAAACCTAACCAAATAAAAATCCAAATGAGACAAAAATTTGATTAGGAAAAAGAGTAAAAGTTGCATAACCAGGGGAGAGTATGGACTACTCACAGAAAAACCGCAGAACCAAGACGGATACCGCTCCAAACAAACCAATGCCCCTCAGATTCTAGTTGAAAACCAAATCAGTAAGCTATCCTCCAAGTATTACTTTCCCTTCCCTTTAACCATAAGGAGCTTCAGAAGAATTGTTTTTTTCAACCATCTTGGACATAGTACTTTCATCCAATGGCTGCTCTCCATGCTTCCTAGCATTTCGCTCTCTCCAAATACTATGAGCTAAAGATTGAAACACATACCGTATGATAAAGGTCTCTGTGGGACATCTTCTAGCATGAGAAATAATATCAATGATCTCTTCCCAATTTGTAGTAAACTCATCTTTAAGAATGCCTTTTACCAAATCCCTCCAAATTTTACTTGAGTATCTACAACTGAAGAATAAATGACCACAAGTCTCGTCCTCCATTTTGCAAAGAACACAAACACCATCAACATTAGACGCGTTATTCCATTGCTTAACTCTATCCATGGTCTGCAACCTGTTTCTAATCGCAGTCCAAGCAAGAAAGAATATTTGGGAGTAGAGTGGGGAAACCATATACCTTTACTCCATCTACAATCAGGGTGAGGATGTCTGATACTAAGCCAAGTTTTCTTGGTAGAAAAATTGGCCAAGTAGGTATTACCATTGGAACGCCACAGAGGAACATCATCATCACAACTAGCCCTCCTCTTAACCTTTTCAATCTCATTTTCAACATCATTAAGGAAAGAAATCCGATGCCTTCTTCTCCGATGGTGATTCAAAACATCATACACCATGTCAGTTTCTCTGATACCCATATCGATGTTTCTCCCACTTCTCAAGTATGTAATCAAGCAGCCCAAATCAGACCAGTGATCGTACCAAAAGGAAACACGCTTACCGTTATTGACCTCCACTTTATGAAAACCCCTAGCCAAATCCCTCAAATGCAACAACTTTTTCCAGATCCAGAATCCAATCAAGGAGCTACTACGAATGGACCAGAATGATCCCTTTCGTATCAAGTAACAGTGAACCCATTTAACCCACAGAGAATCATGATTAGACAACAGTCTCCAAATTAGCTTAAGGCATTAAACTCTATTAACCTCCTTAAGAGGACGAAGACCTAAACCACCTTCTTTTTTCGGCAAACATATGTCATTCCAGCTAACTTTAGCTTTGCTTGTCTTCAACTCCGGACCAGACCACAAAAAAGCAGAACAAAGACTTTCAATATCTTTAAGACAGCTGCTAGGAAGACTGAAGGCAGAGAGCCAAAAATTTGCTAAACTGGTAATGACTGAGCTGATTAACTAAAGTCGACCTCCATACGAAAGAAACCTTCCCGTCCAAGACTTCATCCTCTTCATGATTTTCTCAACTAGAGGGAAATAATCTAAGACAATCATTTTCTTAGTGAGAAGAGGAAGGCCTAGATATCTCACCGGTAACTTACCCGACTCAAAAGGA